TAAGTAGTTACAATAAGTTGAAAAATGCAAAAGTAAATAAACGCGTAAACGAATTAAAAAGAACGTCTAAAGTCTAAGTCTATTTAATTTTAAATTTAAAAAAGATGTTAAAGTAATTAAATTAATTAGTTAATAATTTTAATTAAAAACAAACTCAACCTAATTTTTTGTGGCTTTTTATTTACTCTTAATTTAAAAGAGAATTAAGAAAGGAGTACGTAATACAAAGGAATGAAATTCAAGAAACAAGTGTTTCGATCCAGAGGATAAGGAGTTTTTAATCCAGAGGAGGATGGTTATCCTTCGATCCAATGAAGGAAACTATCCTTCGATTCTGGGCAGAAGGTGGTTTTCGATCTGGATCTGCAAACAGACATGTTAGAAAGAAAACAAAAATACCTGACCTGGGACTCGAACCCAGGTCCTTCATCCAGCGCAAACCTTCCTTTACCGTCTGAGCTAGCTTGTTCAATTGAAGTAAAGGAAACTAATATTGAATCCTGCAAGTTTGTTAGTTTCAAAACCAAACAAGAAAAAACTATTCCATACGAAATCAGCCCCTGAACCCGAATCTGGGGTTGTTTCGATCTGCAACAGTTTGTACCATGGATTTCGAAAGTGACATGTTTCAAAAACCTCTAGCCATGGTAACCTGCAATTTCAGCACTTAAGCCCTCATATAAAACATCAGACCTTTTCTAATCATTATCACAAATATATATGCATGCATTAAATGGATCAACAATACATATTTCAACAAGTTTGAATCAAAGAAATATACTAAACTGATTATTACCGTGGGGGTGTTTTAGGGTGCGTCGGGCTTGGGTGATTATTGGGGATGGCTTCTGGAATTGTATTGAAGGTGACTGCACTACGCTCAGAAAAACTTGAAACAATTTCAAAGTTTTGTGGAGTTTTTTTTAGTGAGGCGGGCTGCGCATATGTTGTCGTCTCCGTGCATCTAAGAGTGTTGGATTTATATAGGCAAAGATTTAGGTCAACATTTGTGTATAAAATCTTTTCTCATCATGAGGGAGAGATTTGATTTGATTTTGTCATGAAAACTTGCCATATTTGTTCTAATCATGCGTTTCTGCCAGCTTGCTCTGAGTTGTTTTTTGGGCCTCCAACTTGATGGGAATCGAAAGCTTGGGATGAACCTGGACATACCTCATTCCTTCAAATACCTTACAGCCATGCCCTTCGAATGGCCTTAAGTTTCCTCCTTCGAATGGCTCTGGTTTCATTCTTATAACTCTTTCAATTGAGCCCAATCGAAAGACTTCATTCTGGTCAGTCAAAGCTTCCTTTGGCATGAATGTGCTTGTGCACGTTAGTTTGAAACTGGAAGTATGTTGGATTTTGGGCTAGCAGGCCTCTTAGAATATTTTTCTTTCATTTTGACCAACTAGATCCATTCTTCGACCAGACCCCCTTTTTAGACAACAATATGTGTTTCCCATTAAAGTGTCCTTCAAATGGGCCCTTTGTGTATTCTTCGTTTTGAACCAATGTGTGTGTTCTTTTGAAGGGACCACGTGCATGCTTTGTGCCTTCTTCGAATGACTCTCCAATGTGTGTCCTTCGACTGGACCTTTGGAATGCTCTTTCGAAGGGGCCATATTGTGTGCCATAGTCCAGAAATTGTGTTGAGGAGTCTTGGCCTTGTGCATTGAAGGAAAGTTGAAAGGAGCCTTTGACTTAGTGAATCTAAGGAAAGAATGAAGGGGCTTTTGGCCTGATGAATCCAAACACACTTGTAGGGGGTTCTTGCCTTGTGCATCAAAGGCAAGTTGAAAGAAGCCTTTTGCCTTGTGCGCTGAAGGCAAGTCGAAAGGGGCCTTTGTTTAGTGAATCGAAGCTTTTGTGAGTTAAACTTGATTAAAGGGGGTCCAGCGCTCAATCGAAGACTTGCGGACCAAAGCTTGATCGAAGGGTGCCAAATTCCCAATCGAAGACCTTATTAAAATGCCAATCAAAAGACCTTTGTCCAGATGCCAATCGAAGACCTTGTTAAAATTCCAATCGAAGACTCCTTGTATAGATGCCAATCAAAGACCTTGTTAAAATGCCAACTAAAGACTCCTTGTTTATCTTCAAAATTTTTAGTTTTTTCTTTAATCAAGTGTTTGTAATCACCTAAAAAATCTTGGAAAAATATGAGAGGGAAAATTTGGGGGTACAACAGTTTCCATTCTCTTTTTGAAACACTATTCCATAGAAAAATTATTTAAACATGCATCAACATAAGCAATTACTATTTCTGTTCTCCCCAGTGAATTTTCTAAGACTTCAGGTTATATCCCCAGCGAGGTCTTCATCCTCAGTAACACAGTTCACCTTATTCAAATATCCTTTTGGTGTTAATCATTTGAATGGTAGAGTGTCTACTCTTGATTGTAAGTTTAGTTTTGTCCTGACACAATTTTTTCGGGTTTAGTCTTTACTACCCTTGTTGGTTAATCTCAATGTATGTTTATGTACCTTTTCGAAAACCAGTTTCATCCTGATATTCATTTTCAGCAGGTTTTTAGTAGTACTCCCTAATCAATTTGCTTTAGGTCGAGTTTTGAGTGTCGTCTCCTCACTCGCGCATGAAATCCAGCTTTCATTCTGGTACTTATCTGGTTTAGTTTTGTCTAACTAGTTATAATGAGTCGTGTGTCATATCATTTTGTTTTCATACCTTGGAATTCCATCAGTGTTTGATTACTGAATCCTTTATCGATTTTCGTTTGCCGAGTCTCTTTGTAGTGTTTGTAACTGTGTCCCTGGTTGAAATCAGTCTCCTTTGTTCCTTGGACTTTTCTATCAATTTTTGTTTACTATTTATCCATTAATATGAGACAAGCAAGTGCTTTGAGAAATGTGTGTTCTCATCACTCTGCTTAGGGTCGAGTCTTGATCTGGTCTCCTGTGCATGAAATACAGTTTTCATTCAGGTACTCATCTAGTTTAGTTTTGTCTAACTATTTTTAATGAGTCGAGTTTCATCTTGTTTTGTTTCTTTTCCCTTGACTCTCCTATCTGTGTTCGTTTACCGTGTTCTTGGTCGAAACCCCTAGCTCACTCTTTGGACGTCTATCAGTTTTTGATTACTGAACCTTTGGCAATGTTTGTTTACTACATTACGACTTTCATTTGCTGTGTCCATCGACTTGAGATGTCTCTTTTATACGTATTCGGGTTTTAGTCAGTTTTCATTTACTATTTACCGGTGGTTAGAGACCAGCAGGTGCTCTGAGAAATATGCACTCTTATCACTTTTACTATGGGTCGAGTTTTGCCTTGTTACCCGTGCGTGAAATCCAGTTTTCGTTTTAGTAGTCATCTAGTTTAGTTTCGTATGAATATTCATAATGATTCGAGTTTCATCTCGGTTTGTTTCTTACTCCTGGGATTCTTTCAGTTCCTTCATACTGTCTATCTTGGGTTGAAACATGTCTCTTTTATAACTTTTGGAATCTTTCAGTTCCATCTCATTGTCTTCCCTTGGTTTGAGACTAGCTGGTGCTCCTAGAATTACGCGCTCTAGCCACTCTGCCCCGTGTACTTTTCCAGAGTATAGTTTTTCCTATTTTCTGTGGTTTGAGTCTTATCTCACCCCCTTTTGTGGTCCAGTTTTATCCTGTCACTTTATTCTGAAGTTTAGTTCCGTCTAATATTCTAAATTCCGTGTCTGCTAGTATTCTTTGTCTTTGGGGTGTGTGCTTCTTTTTCAAGAATTTAAATTTTCGGGTTCTTTTGTATTCAATCATCTTCAACTCTGAACGGTTGAAAGCTGTCACTTTTCTTACTTATCATGTTAAAGATAATTGAATAGGGGCAGCTGTTGCACCCCAAAATTTACCCTCTTGATTTCGGAATTTTTTATGGCTTATGTTTCATCATACATGTTCATGCATTGTGACGGGGTAAAGTTATTGTTATCTTCCTAGTTTTCTTCAAGCTGTGAAAGTGGTTGTATTGGCGATCAGTTCAATACGGCTCTCATATCCTTATTATTTTGATCATTCAGGCTACCAAGCCTTGTTATACTTCAAGACACTTCATTTGTCTCTTTGTTTCATCAAAGGATTGAAAAATTGTTAGTGTTTTTAGTTTGATGCTAGGTTTTTCAGTTGAGAAGATCACATAATTTGGATTTGATGTTGAGTTACTTCTTCGTCCAATATACCTCCTAAGGGTTGTGTTATAGCCGCTTATCAAGGATCCTTTCTCCTCAAGAGGCATTGCTTCTCCTTGTTAGGATTTCGTTTGTTTGAGATATAAAGTGTAATCCATAATACGTTGAGCTTAGAGATTCTTCGTGCTAAAGATTTCATTCCTCCTAGTATTTGTTGCTTGACACACAAGTATTGGTTTAGATTGAAATTTGAATTGAGATAAGGATCCATGAAGAGTTTGAAGACTTAATTTGATAAAATATTCTTGCAAGTTTGTTAAGGTGTAAGCATCATATGAATTACTTGTAATACTGGTTATTGGGAGTGAAAGGCACACATTTTGGTTACACATTTATTCAAATAGGCTTGTTTTAGAAAATTCATCAAGAATATTAATTCAAGTGTTGATTTGAATTCCATTCAAATTAATTATCCATTATTCAAGTTCATACCAAAGATGCAAGTTTCAATCTTATTCATTCAAATTCCATTCAAATTATTGGCTCATCCAAGTTTCAAGAAAACATCTTTCATTCAAGTTCTATATCAAATGATTGAAGTTACAAGTTTATTACAAAGTTGCCTTTGGTTTTACGATTACTACAAAGGTTCATGAGCCTAAAATTACAAGACCAATACCAAGTTTTACAAAAAAAATCAAAGAGAGTTTTAAACCTACTCTAAGTTCGTATTGAGATTCTATTAATTTCAAATGCTTCACTTATTCAAATTTCTCTCCAAGAACTCTTTTATGACAGCCACAAAAACATTGCATTCATTTCCTTACCATTGCCATCAAACCATTGTGTTCATGAAACAAAAAAAAGAGAAATGTTAGAATACAATAAATTGAAACCTAAGCCAGAAATTTCCAAGGGATTTCACGAGTTCATCACTAGGATTTGTGTAGGAATCAGAATTAGGGTTGGCTTTCGAATCATGTTCAAGCAACAATCAAAGCCTCATATAATTTTGGTTCACCCAAATCAGTTTTCGAGCAAGCAATCATGGGCCAAATTCCATCTACTACAAGTCACAAAAAAACAAGTTTTGGTTCACAGTAGAGTTCAAAACGAGCAAGCTTACTACACAAGTTTCACAAAAATAGCGTCACGGTTCAGTCAAAACAAGAAAGCATAGAAGAAATCACAAGTCTAACCCATTAAACATCAAGTCACTGCAGCAAACAGATTCACCAACAAATCATGCAGAATTCAAGTTCTAAGCTCGACAAGCAAACATAAGTTCACATTTCAGCAAAATGGCCATCGCAAAAAACAAAAAAATTAGAAAATATAACAAAATCATATATTAAGAGGCCCAATACATAAGCATTCACAAAGGCCTGTTATCACAAATCTGATAGGCTGCGCAGCAACAACAACAAATCATGACCCTAATTTTGTATCATCATTTTACCTCACTCAAAATCCCTTCAGAATACAGAGAAAGGGAAGAGGAAAAAAAGCTTTCGAAAAAGTCAGAATCAGAAAGATATTACCGGGAATACCCTCAACTATTGGCATCCTATCGCGAGCTTGATAAACCTATAACTTTGTTACAATCATGTCCTCCTCATCTTCAGGTATATGCTGAACAAGCACATCAGTGAAACCTGCAGCTGAACCAAAAACAAAGTTGAAAGCTAGCCTTAGCAAGGGTCCGACATTCAGTCTGTATGCAGCATTACTTTGTGTGACTTCAAGTTCCGCAAGGGTTTTCTCCACACTCTTTTTATGTTCCCGAATAACTTGTCTATATATCTTGTAAGGCGTCCCCAACATAAACCGGTAGCCTGCATATTTAAATTATAAAAAAAAAACAGTAGAGGAAAATCAGAGGAAGAGGTGTAAACTGTGCCAAATATGCCAGCTCATCATTTTGAATAAAATAAAAATAGAAAGAAAATTAGAAGTTAGGAGGAATTTGTAAAAGGGTATTAAATCATAAAATATCGTGAAACTTAAACAGCTTAGCAATTTACCCAAGGCTTCTCAAGCAAGTTTCACAAACTCAATCCTCACCATTCAATCTCTCTAACCGAAAATCAAAATCAACAGCCAAGACTAAACCAAGTTTTAACTAACTTCTATTGATAATAAAAATATATAAAGAGCAATCACCTTGCATCGGGATTGATTCTTGAATCATTGGAGAATAACCGAAAAATCCCAGAAGAATCATAACAAGGAACTCTCTAATCTCCTGGCTTCTCCTCTCTGAATTCTCTCTCATCTCTTGGCTTCTCCTCTCTGAATTCTCGTGGAGTTACTCTTCAACCTTCTCTATGCAATCACCATTCTTCACCCTCTATAATCTTCATCTTTACACGCTCCTTCTCTCTCTCAATATCCCTTTTACACATCTTCATCATCTTCACATCTCCAAATTGTGATATCTCTGCTTCATTCTGTATCTGAAAACTAAATAAGCAACAACTTCAAAACAAATTCAACAACAACGTTTTATCACCTTCAACCTTTCTCTTTGCTCTCCCTCTGAGCCAAACCTTTGTCCATGCTATTATATCTTCATCAACCTGTGTTCATCTTCAACGGAGCGTCACAAATCATTTTCTACCAATTCAATGCGAATCAGAGACTTATTAAAACCTTTATTACCTTCGCATCTTCGGCGTCCGCAAATGACATACAACAACCATAAAAATGGCATCATTAAGCTACACTGCAAGAACCATAACAACATCACCAGTACTCGTGTGATAAACGAAATCAGAGAAGTAGAAGAATTTTATTGAATCGAAAACGAGATGTACACGAGTTTTGTTCCTCCGACCTATTTTCCCTAATCTTTGATATTCGGAGAAGAAGAGACAAATGAGAACGTGCTGACGAGTTGAAATGGAATTGAGACGAGGTTAATTTTGTCGGTGATGCAAGCGACGAATAAAACGATTCAAATGAAGATGGAAGCTGAATCATGGTGCTGTTGTCTAAGAAGAAGAAAGTGAGACAGAAGTTGTAAGACGTAATCGGACGGAGTTGATCGAAAGTGGGCGGCGATGCAGTGGGCGATTTGGATCAGATAACAAAATTAAACTTCAGTTTATGCCGTTCGCGATGAAAGAGAGAAGAAGCTCAGACATCGCAATTCATTACCCTAATTCCTTTTCATTTTTTTGTTTTATTATTTTTTTTATACTTTTATTTGTTTTTTACTATAGGATGAACAAAATCGAAACATGCATAAAGATGAACCTACATAAAGCTGGACCGCTGGACCATACCATATTCCCTCTTGGCCCGGTTTATATTTTTGTTGGAGAACAAAAGCTATATTGGATATTGTTGTGGTCTGGGCCGAATCTCTCCTAAGCCCAGGGACGTTTCTTTGGCAGCAACCTATTGTTTTGCAAAAGAAAAAGAGTATTTGGACTCTATCCTGATGGGCCTATCGCCCAGAATACTTCATCACACTCTTGGATTCAGTTTGCACCCATTGAACTTCTTTTTTTACTATTTGTAATTTCTTTTGAATAATTTTCATTAATTGTTTAAACTTGTTTGAATTTTATTCATATGATAAAAATAATAAAATCAAATATAAAAATTGATTAGATTTTTTTTATTATTTGGTTTTGGGAATTAAATCGGGATTATCCGATTACTTGAGATTTGTAATTCACCCTTGCTTATTGAGATCTGAGTTTTATGCAGGTTTATCGTGTGATATGCGGATGTGCTTGAGGTTTCTATTGTGATTTATTTTCACATCGATGATGCTTCAACACTTATTCCGAGCATTTGATTTATGACTCTTTGCCTTGATTGGTGATGCTATCGTGAAGATCGTCGGGTTTCTTTGTTTCGATATGCTTTGCTACATATTAATATCCGTTTGGTATTTTCCCTTATTTATCTCATTTCAGCATTTACCGCTTTCTAGAGATCATGTATAGTAGGGACGTTTATTGCTTTCTAGAAGTCATGTGAAGTAGGAAGCAGGAAATAAAGAGCGTGTGCTCAAAGTCACCGTTTAAAGTCTTGTAGCAGGCATCGTTTTCTGCATGCTATTTGTGTTTGTTTAAAATCCTTCTTTTGAAGTAGGTATTATGCACATGTTTTTACATTTGTGCTCGCATTATATTATATATGATAAGTCCTTAAAAGAAGGCGAGCGGGGAGGGTCCTTAATCGACCTCCACATATTCTAGTTCATGTCATTCTTAGCTCATGTTGCACGTCGATGCTTAGGAGTCGTGCATATCATATGTATCGATTCCGCCAAGCGGGGAAGGGTTTTGCAATCAAACCCCCACGCTTTGTAAGGAGTTCTCATTGGTCGATGTTGACACTCCATGATCGTTCATATTGTCTTCTGTCGTCTACCTTTATTTTCCCTACATTATTTTATATTTTCTTTTGCATGCATTCCCTTTTAGATTTTAAGCTTAGACATACATTTTTCACATCCTTAGATTAGAACAAACGTGAGTTAATACCGTAGATTACTACGGGCGTGTGGGGTGCTAATACCTTCCCCTCGCGTAACAGACTCCCTTACCAGATCTCTCGGTCGAAAGACCGTGATTTCTCCCTCTTCAGGTTTTCTCGATGTTTAACTTTCCCTTTAGGCGGGATAAAATACGTTCGGTGGCGACTTCATTGATTTTATTATCAGATGACGGTTTAGCCTGTTGTTTCAGTGTAAGGGTACTTCTTTGGCGCATGTGTTAGTTGATACAGGTTCCTCCCTGAATGTATTACCAAAATATGCTCTAGATAAATTGGACTATGAAGGGTTGGTGCTTAAACCCAGTGATATTGTGGTAAGAGTCTTTGATGGGTCAAAAAGAATGGTGCACGAAGAAGTTGATCTTCCGATCAAGGTGGGATCTCAGGTTTTTAAATCCACTTTTTATGTAATGGATATTTTCCCGGCCTATTCCTATTTCCTAGGACACCCCAGGATTCATGGGGAAGACGTTGTTACTTCTACTTTACATCAAAAATTGAAGTATCCGATGAAAGGGAAGATCATTACAGTCCATGGAGAGGAAGAATATATGATCAGCCATTTGAATTCTTTCAAATATGTTGAAATGGATGGTGAATTTATTGAAACTCCCTTCCAGACATTTGATGTAATCCTTTCAATGTTTGTCGTTGCTAAAGCTACTCTTGCTACTCCCAATATTACCAAAGACACACCAAAAATGGCTTTTTTGAAGGATTCTAGGGCTGTGATAGAAGAAGGTAGTTGTACTGTTTGGGGTCAGCTTCCTGATATCCCCTACAAATCTGACAAGTTTGGTCTGGGCTTTATTGTAGAGTGTCAAAGGGCTATTTGTCGCACTCGAGCTGGAAGACCTCCATTCTGTATCAACAATAATGGAGTCAATGCTATAGAAGACACTGATAGTGACTGTGACCTGGACAACTGGATATTCCCTACCATTGGTGGTGGACTCAACAACTGGAAGGCTAAAGACTTTGTACCAATCTCCTTCAGTCAGGAGTAATAGCTATTTCTATTTTTTATTTGCTTTAATAAGTTTGGTTATGTAATTTATTTTAAAATATTGACTTTAAACCTTGTGTCTTGCCCGGGGCACAATAGCCCATTTGTTAAGGGTTGTCATTTCATATTTCATATTTTCATTTAATGAAAACATTGGACATTTTGAATACAAATTTTGCGCTCTATATCTTTATTTTTACTTTATTGCACTTTCAAATAGCTATGAGTTCTTACACACACCCACACACTACATTGAAGATCCCCATCCACTTCGAATCTCATTGATAACGATTATGCTATTGCCGCTTATGACTTTGAAAATCCAGTATACCAAGCCAAAGACGAAGGTGAGGAAGATTGTGAGATACCTGGAGAACTTGCCAGAATCTTAATAAAAGAAGAAAAGGCTATCCAAGCACATGAAGAGCTGGTTGAGGTGGTAAACTCGGGTTCTGAGACAGACAGAAAAGAGGTCAAGATAGGTGCCAACTTAGAGGGTAGTGTCAAGAGTAGATTGATTCAGATGTTGCACAACTATGTTGAGGTATTTTCTTGGTCATACGGAGACATGCCAGGTCTCGATACTAATATTTGGTTCACCGTCTTCCAATGAAAGATGGTCGTGCTCCAATTAAATAGAAGGTTCGTCGCATGCGTCCCGAGATGTTAGAGAAGATCAAGGCTGAGGTTATGAAACAATTAAATGCATGGTTCTTAGAAGTAACGTCATATCCTTAATGGGTTGCTAATGTTGTTCCGGTACCGAAGAAATATGGCAAGATTTGTATGTGCGTAGATTACAGGGATCTGAATATGGAAAGCCCCAAGGATGACTTCCCACTTCCACATATTGATGTCCTGGTCGACAACACTGCTCAACACAAGGTATTCTCTTTCATGGATGGTTTCTCGGGTTATAATCAGATTAAGATGGTGCCTTAAGACATGGAGAAAACTACCTTCATCATACAGTGGGGCACAATCTGTTACAAGGTCATGCCTTTTGGGTTGAAGAATGCAGGGGCAACTTATCAGTGAGCCATGGTAGCCTTATTCCATGACATGATTCATCATAAGATAGAAGTCTGTGTTGATGATATGATAGCCAGGTCATAAACTGAAGAATAAAATCTTGATCATCTTCACAAGTTACTTGAAAGGCTGAAGAAGTACAAACTAAGGCTGAATCCAAACAAATGCATTTTTGGGGTGAGGTCTGGTAAACTCATAAGTTCCGTTGTCAGCAGTAAAGGTATTGAAGTTGATCACGCAAAAGTCAAAGCCATTCAAGAAATGCCAGTTCCCCACACTGAGAAGGAGGTCATAGGTTTCTTAGGACGACTAAACTACATTGCTCGTTTCATTTCTCATTTAACTACAAATTGTGAGCCAATCTTCAAGCTGTTGAAGAAAGATCAAGTAGTGAAGTGGAACGGCGACTGCCAAATAGATTTTGATAAGATCAAGGAATACTTACAAGAACTTCCGATTCTGATGCCACCAGTTGAAGGAAGACCTCTAATCATGTACCTGACAGTACTAGAGAGTTCAATGGGGTGTGTGATGTGGAAACATGACGAGTTTGGTCGAAAAGAGAATTCAATATACTACCTTAGCAAAAAGTTTACCGACTGTGAAACAAGATATTCACTGCTCGAGAAAACTTGTTTCGCTTTGGAATGGGCTGCTCGCCGACTAAGACAATATATGTTGACTCATACTACTCTATTGATCTCTAAAATGGATCCCATCAAGTACATATTCGAGAAGCCCGCACTCTCCGGAAGAATAACTCGATGGCAAATGATCTTAACAGAATACAACATACAATGCACCATCCAAAAAGCAATGAAAGGAAGTGTACTAGCAGATCATTTGGCACATCAAGCTATAGATGACTACCAATCTATGAACTTCGAATTCCAAGACGAGAATATCATGCTAATTATAGATTATGAAGAACCTGGATTGTATGAAGGACCTGAGCTAGGATCCCGATGGACTATGGTTTTCAATGGAGCTTCTAATGCACTTGGCAACGAAATTGGTGATGTGATCATCTCCCTCGCAGGTTGCCATATGCCTTTCATCGCCAGACTTTGCTTTGATTGTACCAAAAATATGGCTGAGTACGAAGCATGCATCTTGGGTCTTAATGCTGATATTGACTTAAGAATTAAGTTCCTGAGTGTATATGGGGATTCGGCCTTGGTAATCAGCCAGGTTAAGGGAGAATGGGATACGAAGCATCTGAATCTCATCCCTTACTGAGAACATGTGCTTACTTTGATTCTGTACTTCGAAGAGATTACTTTTGAGCACATCCTAAGAGAAGAGAACCAGTTGGCAGATGCGTTAGCTACCATGTCATCCATGTTCAAGCTCATATGGGACAATGAGGCTCCCAGAATTACCATTGAAAGATTCGATGAACCGACACACAACTATGAAATTGACACTG